TGACTAGTAGGGTTCAGATTTACTGTCTGGGGAAGGGTGACTAGTAGGGGTGGGTTCAGATCTACTGTCTGGGGAAGGGTGACTAGTAGGGTTCATATCTACTGTCTAGGGAAGGGTGACTAGTAGGGCTGAGTTCAGATCTACTGTCTGTGGAAGGGTGACTAGTAGGGGTGGGTTCAAATCTACTGTCTGGGGAAGGCGTGATTTAGAGTAGTGTGTGTGAGTGAATGACTGAGTGAATGACTGAGTGAGTGAGTGAGTGAGTGAGTGAGTGAGTGAGTGAGTGAGTGAGTGAGTGAGTGAGTGAGTGAGTGAGTGAGTGAGTGAGTGAGTGAGTGAGTAAGTGAGTGTGTGAGTGAGTGAGTGAATGAGTGAGTGAGGGTGTGTGTGTGTGTGTGTGAGAGAGAGAGACAATGTGAAGGTGTGTGTTTGTGTGTGTGTGTGTGGTGTGTGTGTGTGTGTGTGTGTGTGTGTGTGTGTGTGTGTGTGTGTGTGTGTGTGTGTGTGTGTGTGTGAGTATGAGACCAGGTGATGAGTGTAAAGTATACACAGTGCGTTCGGAAAGTATTCAGACCCCTTGACATTTTCCACATTTTGTTACGTCACAGCCTTATTCTAAAATTTATTAAATGAAACAAATTCCTCAGCAATCTGCACACAATACCCCATAATGACATAGAGAAAACAGGTTCTTGGAAATCTTTGCATATTTATTAAAAATAAAAACAGAAATACCTTATTTACATAAGTATTCAGACCCTTTGCTATGAGACTCGAAATGGAGCTCAGATGCATCTTGTTTCCATTGATCATCCTTGAGATGTTTCTACAACTTGATTGGAGTCCACCTGTGGTAAATTCAATTCATTGGACATGATTTGGAAAGGCACACACCTATGTGTGTGTGTGTATATAGGGTCCCACAGGTGACAATGCATGTCAGAACAAAACCTAAGCCATGAGGTCGAAGGAATTGTCCGTAGAGCTCCGAGACAGGATTGTGTCGAGGCACAGATATGGGGAAGGGTACCAAAACACAGTGGCCTCCATCTATCTTAAATGGAAGAAGTTTGGAACCACCAAGACTCTTCCTAAAGCTGGTCAAAATGAGATATCGGGGGAGAAGGGCCTTGGTCAGGGAGGTGACCAAGAACCCGATGGTCACTCTGACAGAGCTCTAGAGTTCCTCTGTGGAGATGGGAGAAATGTCCAGATTTCTGCAGCACTCCACCAATCAGGCATTTATGGTAGAGTGGCCAGACGGAAGCCACTCCTCAGTAAAAGGCACATGAAATCCCGCTTGGAGTTTGCCAAAAGGCACCATCAAGCCTATTTGATGCTAATAGCGCTCACCGCTGTCCCTAGTGGACGATTTTTAAAGTCATCTCACAACGTCCTGGGTATCTGGACAGACGTCGAATTTCGCCTTGGATCTTGAGCGACCTGGCTGTCCAACCTGCTCTGTGCTTGAGCAAGGAAGTTAACCACCAACAGCAGCTGCTTCCTGGGCGCCGATGACGTGGATTAAGGCAGCCCCCCCCCCACCCCCGCACCTCTCTGATTCAGAGGGGTTGGGTTAAATGCGGAAGACACATTTCAGTTGAATGTATTCAGTTGTACAGCTGACTAGGTATCCCCTTCCCTTCCCTTCCCATTAAAGCGGCAATCAGCAGTTGAAACTATTACAAAGCGGCCTCCCTGCCCCTGGTTTGGTAAAAAGCTGGACAGAGCAATGGATTCAAGGACTGACCATCCATGATATCAACGTTATAGTATTAACAATGTGTTGAGGCTATACACTGTTGGTTTACATTTATGTATTTTTTTTTACAAAGATTGGAGTAAAACAAGCTCCTATTTGGGATTCTGATGGGGAACGACAGTTGAACTAAGCTCATGAGGTATTTATAAGTGATATTCTTCAAGAATCAATGGGTACATATCGTTCATTTCTAAGTCCAAAAATAGATGCAGCAACTGCAGATTGCCTCTAAAGACAAGGTGATCTGAAGTCAGTTACAGTGACAGTGATGGTTCCAAACTGCTCTGTGCTATAAAAGACAAGCTGATCTAAAGTCAGTTATAGTGATGAGACCAACCTGCTCTGTGATATAAATACAAGGTGATCTGATCTAAGCAAAAAACAGAATGACAGATGAATAAAAACACAGACACATAGAATCACCTGTCACTGGAAGGGAGGCCAGGAGAGAGAATATAACATGATTGGGTTTTTTTGTATACAGTACAAGAAAGGCTTCGTGTGTGTGTGTGCGTGCGTGCGTGCGGTCGGGGGATTGTGGAGACCAGGTCATCTGTGGAAACACAGAGAGAGCCCTCGATAACATTATCAACTCACAGAGAGAGCCCTCGATAACATTATCAACTCACAGAGAGAGCCCTCGATAACATTATCAACTCACAGAGGGAGCCCTCGATAACATTATCAACTCACAGAGAGAGCCCTCAATAACATTATTAACTCACAGAGAGAGCCCTCGATAACATTATCAACTCACAGAGAGAGCCCTCGATAACATTATCAACTCACAGAGAGAGCCCTCGATAACATTATCAACTCAAAGAAAGAGCCCTCGATAACGTTATTAACTCAGATAGAGCCCTCGATAACATTATCAACTCACAGAGAGAGCCCTCGATAATATTATCAATTCACACTTGACTGACACAACACACAACACACAACACAACACACAACACACAACACACGACACACAACACAACACACAACTCACGTTGCTGACAGGTGTATGAAATCGAGCACACTCATAGGATGCCACCTTTCCAACAAGTCAGTTTGTCACATTCCTGTCCTGCTAGAGCTGCCCCTGGTCAACTGTAAGTGCTGTTATTGTGAAGTGGAAACGTCTAGGAGCAACAGCGGCTCAGCCGCGAAGTGGTAGGCCACACAAGCTGAAATCGTCTGTCCTCGGTTGCAACACTCACTTCCTTGTTCCAAACTTCCTTGTTCAGCACAATAACTGTTCGTTTGGAGCTTCATGAAATGGGTTTCCATGGCCAAGCCTAAGATCACCATGCGCAATGCCAAGCGTCGGCTGGAGTGGTAAAAGCTCGCCGCCATTGGACTCTGGAGCAGTAGAAACGCGTTCTCTGGAGTGATGATTCCGATGGACGAATCTGGGTTTGGCGGATGCCAGGAGAAAGCTACCTGCCCCAATGCATAGTGCCGACTGTAAAGTTTGGTGGAGGAGGAATAATAGTCTGGGGATGTTTTTCATGGTTCAGGCCCCTTAGTTCCAGTGAAGGAAAATCTTAACGTTACAGCATACAATGACATTCTAGACGATTCTGTGCTTCCAACTTTGTGGCAACAGTTTGGGGAAGGCCCTTTCCTGTTTCAGCATGACAATGCCCCCGTGCACAAAGCGATGTCCATACAGAAATGGTTTGTCGAGATTGGTGTGGAAGAACTTGACTGGCCTGCACAGAGCCCTGACCTCAACCCCATCAAACACCTTTGGGATGAAATGGAAGCAAGTCCCCGCAGCAGTGTTCCAACATCTAGTGGAAAGCCTTCCCAGAAGAGTGGAGGCTGTTATAGCAGCAAAGGGGGGGACCATCTCCATATTAATGCCCATGATTGTGGAATGAGAGCAGGTGTCCACATACTGTTGGTCATGTAGTGTATATGACATCTAGCTACACTCTCAGACTGGAGTGAAATCCTCTCACCACTCAGATTTAAGGACTTTCCTAGACTACTGTGTTATTTAGCAGCATGCTATTCACGTGTTCCACCCTTTACCGAGACCCGTCACACGAGGGTCCAATCCACCGACCTCAGACACTACTCTCAACACACACACACACACAAACACACACCACACACACTTCTGGCCTGGGAATTGCTGAGAGGAAGTGGCAGGGAGGCAGACAGGGAAGCTTAGAAATAAATAAGTCCTTTGTGTTGGGGCTAAGTAAACATTACACAGTTTTACACAGGTCAATAGTGTAGTCTGATAAGCTGCTTCCTATCAATGGGACAGACTGGTTGGACAGACTGGTAGGATAGACTGGTTGGACAGACTGGTAGGATAGACTGGTTGGACAGACTGGTAGGATAGACTGGTTGGACAGACTGGTAGGATAGACTGGTTGGACAGACTGGTAGGAGAGACTGGTTGGACAGACTGGTAGGATAGACTGGTTGGACGACTGGTAGGATTAGACTGGTAGGATGACGGGATGAGAGAGAGAGAGAGAGAGAGAGTAGATGATATATAGATAAGTATCTCGAGATCTGGCTAGATATGCTAGATAGCTCGCGCGATATAGATAGAGCGAGAGAGATAGAGCCTACTATCTCGTATAGCTAGCTTAGAGAGCGATGATAGAGAGATAGAGAGAGACGAGAAAGAGGGAGATAGAGATAGAGATAGAGAGGGGGGAGAAAACCCCTCTGCCTCACCTCTCTATTTCTCCTCCATTATGCAGTTTCCTCTCTATCCCACGGACACACCTTGTACTAGCCAACAAACACACTAGGGGTTTTCTTTACCCAGGGAAATACAACATTTCAATTTGACACCATTGTTGATATCTTTCTGAAATGTCAACATATCTCCTTTCCTCTTCAGATGTCAGAGTTGACGTGACAAACCTCACACTCAGAAACCTCAGTGCCAAAAGAATATCACCAGACATATAAACTAGGGGTGGAAGAGGAGTCATAATGTGGCTGTACACCTTTAGTTTGTATCTATTATGATAATTCATTGGCTAACAGACAGCTGGGTGAGCTGAATTGTATGGGAATCAACAACAACCTCGTCATCAGCAGATTTTTTAAACAACAGACTAATATGCTATGCACACACTTGAGCACAACTAGACTAGCTGTCGCCATTGGTGACGGATAATGGGGATCCTAATGAATCTAATCAAATAAATCAAACCCTCTCCCCCTTCCTCTCCCTCCCAGGAGTTTTAGAAAACCACCCGTGATGTCTGGCATGGGATCATGGCTGGGAACGGCCAGGAGAACTGTTGGCTGTAATTAGCTGGAAGTCTAAACAGAGGCATGGGATTATGGTTGGGAACGCCAGGAGAACTGTTGGCTGTAATTAGCTGGAAGTCTAAACAGAGGCATGGGATTATGGTTGGGAACGCCAGGAGAACTGTTGGCTGTAATTAGCTGGAAGTCTAAACAGAGGCATGGGATTATGGTTGGGAACGCCAGGAGAACTGTTGGCTGTAATTAGCTGGAAGTCTAAACAGACGCATGGGATTATGGTTGGGAACGCCAGGAGAACTGTTGGCTGTAATTAGCTGGAAGTCTAAACAGAGGCATGGGATTATAGTTGGGAACGCCACCAGGAAAACTGTTGGCTGTAATTAGTTTGAAATCTCACAGAGGCATGGGATTATGGTTGGGAAGCCAGGATAACTGTTGGCTGTAATTAGCTGGAAGTCTAAGAAAGGCATGGGATTATGGTTGGGAACGCCAGGAGAACTGTTGGCTGTAATTAGCTGGAAGTCTAAACAGAGGCATGGGATTATGGTTGGGAACGCCAGGAGAACTGTTGGCTGTAATTAGCTGGAAGTCTAAACAGAGGCATGGGATTATGGTTGGGAACGCCAGGAGAACTGTTGGCTGTAATTAGCTGGAAGTCTAAACAGAGGCATGGGATTATGGTTGGGAACGCCAGGAGAACTGTTGGCTGTAATTAGCTGGAAGTCTAAACAGAGGCATGGGATTATGGTTGGGAACGCCAGGAGAACTGTTGGCTGTAATTAGCTGGAAGTCTAAACAGAGGCGTGGGATTATTGTTGGGAACGCCAGGAGAACTGTTGGCTGTAATTAGCTGGAAGTCTAAACAGAGGCATGGGATTATGGTTGGGAACGCCAGGAGAACTGTTGGCTGTAATTAGCTGGAAGTCTAAACAGAGGCGTGGGATTATGGTTGGGAACGCCAGGAGAACTGTTGGCTGTAATTAGCTGGAAGTCTAAACAGAGGCGTGGGATTATGGTTGGGAACGCCAGGAGAACTGTTGGCTGTAATTAGCTGGAAGTCTAACAGAAGGTAGGAGTATGAGGCAGTTGACATGGCAATAACTGGATCACACACTGGGTTTTTGTATCTGGTTTCTTTTGTCTTTTGACGGAAAACAGAACAGATCAAATTAAGCTGCCTAATTTACCAGATTCCCTCTTTCCCCATCCCTCCCTCGTCCCTTATTTTCTCCTGTTCAGCTCCCTCCTATTCTGTCATTCCCTTCCTTCTCACACTCTTCCCTCTCTCCTCTCCTTTCCTCCTTTCTCTCTTTCCTTCTCTCCTCTCCTCTCCTCTCCTCTCCTTCCCTCTCCTCCTCTCCTCTCTCCTCTCCTCCCTTCCCTCCCCTCTCCTCTCTCTTCTCTCCTCTCTCCCCACTCTCCTTTTCTCCCCTCCCTCTCTCCTCTCCTCTCTTCCTCTCTCCTCTCCCCCTCCTCCTCTCTCCCTCTCTCTCCTCTCTCCTCTCTCCTCGCTCCGCTCTCCTCTCTCCTCGTCTCCCCTCTCCTCACCCTTCCTCCCTCCCTCTCCTCCTCCTCTCCTCGCTCTTCTCTCCTCTCTCCCACTTCTCCTTTTCTCCCCTCCCTCTCTCCTCCACTCCTCCCTTCTCTCTCTCCCTCTCAGCTTCGCTCTCACTCTCCCCCTCCCTCTCTCCTCTCCTCCCTTCTCTCTCTCCTCTCAGCTCTCTCTCCTCTCCTCCCTTACCTGAGGAGCAGTCCTGTATGGCAGATTCCTGCTCAGCACAGACCAACCTCCCTGTCCAAATAACAGGTAAACGAACCCGCAACAACAATGTGGAATTCCACTATTTATCTAAACCCAGTTGTGCTGGAAGCCATTCAGAGTGGCTTGGGTTGGAGAAGCCGGACGGTAACTGCACAGCTTTGAAGTCTATAAAACCATACATTCTATAAAAGGAAAAGAAAAACATGATATTTTTCTATCCATTTCTTTCTCCCTCTCACTGCCCTCCTTCAGCAGAAAGGCAAAAACATTCTGAGGAAATAGGTGGAGTAAACGATGTATTGACTGTGTTTTGAACAGGGCCTGTAATGAATAGGGAATAGGGTGACATTTGGGACGCGGATACAGTCGTCTTTTTGTCGTTCTCCTGAAAAAAAGTGTCCTCTTCCTACATTATAGGGCTGTTATAACGGGGATGAAAGCAAGACAGTCAAGCTACCCTGAGATGGCGGAGGTGATTCTGAAGCGACACCCTAACACTGCTGTCTTCGTTGCCATAGCAACCCTCTGAGGGGAGGTGAAGGAAAGGACATGGCTACCGCAGCACAGAGTAAATATCCACAATGACTGGCTAAGGAATGCAGGTGAACTCTCTCTTTCCCTCTTTCTCTCTCTAATTATCTCTCTCTCTCTCTCTCTCTCTCTCTCTCTCTCTCACGCTCCTTCTCTCTCTTACTCTCTCTCGCTCTCTTTCCCTTGCTCTCTCTCTAATTCTCTCTCTCTCTTCTTTGCCTCGCTCTCTCTCTCTCTCTCTCTCTCTCTCTCTCTCTCTCCTCTCTCTCTCTCTCTCTCACGCTCCTTCTCTCTCTCACTCTCTCTCTCTCCCACTGTCTCCCTCTCTCTCTCCATCTCTCTTTCTTTCTCTGTCTGTCTGTCTGTCTGTCTGTCTGTCTGTCTCGCTCCCTCCCCCCCTCTCTTTTATAAACCCGTATAAAATCCCTCTTTCTTCCCAATAAGAACACATTCCCATAGGGCGGCGCACATTTGGCCCAGCGTCGTCCGGGTTTGGCTGGTGTAGGCCGTCATTGTAAATAAGAATTTGTTTCTAACTGACTTGCCTAGTTAAATGTAAAAAGGTAAAAGAAAAAAATTAAATAAAATATTTTTTTTAATTCCAGGTCTGCCCAGTGTTTCACCTAGCCCACTTCTCTTCATGAATCACATGAAGATATGTCATCACCTCAGAGTGCTGCTAGATAGCCTGGTAAAATCAGCCTGATCCCTAGAAATAGACGGCGATTTCGGATGTTTGAAAACGGCCTAAGAACGTCGATATATATGCCTTCCTGGGCGCTCACAAAAATAAGAAAAAACGATTGATGCTCGGGAGCCGAAGCGCGCTGCTTAAACCACAACAAGCCGTGAGAATATTTGATGATAGTTGAAACAGCTTTGTATTAAATTATGTTGTTTTAAGCCTTTCCCCAAACCATAGCCCTAACCTTAACCACTCAATTAATACAGACACTTAACCCTTTGAGTGGTTTCTGTTTTAACCCTGCAACCACGCGGAATTAACCCTGTAACTACGTGGAATTAATGTGTCAAAAATAGACGTTCATCCATAATATGTCAAATTACGAAAGGGACACTATGAGATCTTGTTGGGTGAAACACCACAGTGGCTGGCATCTCAAATGGTAACATAGCACCTATACAGTACCTCTGCAACTGGATCCTGGACTTCCTGACGGGCAGACCACAGGCAACAACCCCTCCTCCACACTGACTCTTAATACAGCCCCCCCCCCCAGGGGAGTGTCCTCAGCCCTCTGCTGTACTCCCTGTTCACCCACGACTGCGTGGCTTTGCATGACACCAACTCCATCATCAAGTTAGCTACACCACGGTTGTAGTCCTGGTAACCAACAACAACGAGTCAGCCTATAGGGAGGAGGTAAGTGAACTCGCATTGTGGTGTCATGACAACAACCTCTCCCTCAATATTAACAAAACAAAGGAGTTGATTGCAGGGGCGGTGTGTTCAATAGGGCGATATGGGCGACGCACTGCCAAACGGGAAAAGGAAGGGATTTTTTTTCTAATCAATTATATCAGGGCAACAGTAGTTATCAGTGTTGTAATCTAGACGTCTGATCTGCCACAGTGCCACTAAATGTCCAATCAGGCTAAAGTCGTGCTTCAAATGCCCCCCCCCCCCTTTTGGGGCGATTTCAGTCAGGTTGAAAATCGCCCAGAAGTCTGTCATAGACTCCCATGTAAAATCTATTTTTTTCAAATATCAGAGCTTTCAATACAATCTCTATGGGTTTCTGAGGGCTTGCACTTACGCGCTTTCGTCATACGTAACATAACCATGAACGTAACTAAGAAAAGAGCGGGTAGCCTCATCAATCAATTCACTACTACTATCAAAATGGCTAGGCTTCAGTGCAACTCGATTGTGTCTTTGAAAGAAGTTCCTTTTTGTCGGCGAACAAATGAAGATAAATTGGCAACGAAACAATTAGGACCTCCCAGAACAAATTTAATAATTCAACAGGTTTCTACTAAAGGGGGGAAGTCCTACACCCGAGGATTTTCCAAAAATTGGTACGAACGAAAAACCTGGCTAGCAGGCTGCGATGTAGCTAATGCAGTCTTCTGCTACCCCCTGCTTACTCTTTCACCCTGAAGGCGGCACGGCAGACAGCACCGCTTGGACAGCGACTGGTGTGTAACGGACATGCACCATCTTTCAGGAAAGATTAAGAAAACATGAGCTGTCAAAGACCCACATGGATAGCTGTTTGAGATTGTCTGCTTTGGGGAGAGTGAACATTCCCACTCAACTGGATGAGGGATACAGGCTAGCTGTCCGCCGCCACAACGATGAGGTTAGTGTTGATAATCACAAGTTTACTGGAGAACTGAAACTGACAAGGCTGACAAGATAGGACCCTTTTGTCCATTGTTATTGGATAGGAACAGAACTTATAACCAGCTCCTGACCTAAATAGATCTTAGCACAACATTTTACTCAACATATCATATTCCATATTCACTATAACAAATATATTTACTACGACATTAGCAAGAACCGCCACATCCTCAGCCGGCTAATCCAGTGTGTGAAGTTTTGCGGAGTGTTTGAGTTAGCTTTGCGAGGCAAAGATGAAACTGAGGGCTCCACCAACCCTGGTAAGCCAACACTTTTGAGATCAGTCAATAAATGCTTCTGGTATTGACTTATATGCTGCCCCTGTCTTCATGTTGTTGCTGGACATTTCTTTTTTTAAATGTGTGTAGGTCACCTAAATCATCAGAAAAATTGCCCCCCCTGAGAATTTTTTCAGGAGCCGCCACTGGTTGATTGTTGACTTCAGGAAGCAGAGAAGGGAACATGCCCCGATCCACATTAACGGGACCGCAGTAGAACGAGTCAACAGTTTTAAGTGTCTCGGCGTCCACATCACAGAGGACTTGTCATGGACCAACAACTCCACCACTCTTGTCAAGAGGGAGCAACAGCGTCTCTCTGAAGAAATTCAGCATGCCGACCCAAGGGTCCTCTCCAAATACTACCACTGCACCATCGAGAGCGTCCTGACTGGTTGCATCACGGCCTGGTACGGGAATTGCTCCGTCCACGACTGCAAGGCCCTCCAGTAGGTGGTGAATACGGCCAGTACATCACCGGGACCGTGCTCCCACCCATCCAGTACATCACTGGGACCGTGCTCCCACCCATCCAGTACATCACTGGGACCGTGCTCCCACCCATCCAGTACATCACTGGGACTGTGCTCCCACCCATCCAGTACATCACTGGGACCGTGCTCCCACCCATCCAGTACATCACTGGGACCGTGCTCCCAACCATCCAGTACATCACTGGGACCGTGCTCCCACCCATCCAGGACATCACCGGGACCGTGCTCCCACCTTCCAGTACATCACTGGGACCGTGCTCCCACCTTTCCAGTACATCACTGGGACCGTGCTCCCACCCATCCAGTACATCACTGGGACCGTGCTCCCACCTTTCCAGGACATCACTGGGACCGTGCTCCCACCCATCCAGGACATCACTGGGACCGTACTCCCACCCATCCAGGACCTCTACTCAAGGCCCGCAGCATCGTCAAGGACTCCTCACACCCCAGCCACAGGCTGTTCACTCCCTTACCGTCGTGCAGACAGTATTGGAGCATGAGGTCTGATACCGACAGGCTCAGAGACAGTTTCTATCTACAAGCCATCAGACCGCTGAACACTGGAACTGGACCGACCACCTGCTCTGTTTCTCCACATCTTAGCACACATGCACTCACTCACACACACATACCCACTCAGACACACACACATCCACATCCACACATCCACATCCACATACACACATCCACACACACATATACATTCATGCTACACACACATCACAACTGCTGCTCTTATTGTTCTGCTCAGTCTATCCACAGGAAGAACAACAAGATAGCAGCGAGAGATAGACAGAGAGGAAACAGACAGAAAGACAGACAGAGCTTTTCCTACCTCTAAGAAGCAGGTCCCGACTGCCGTATTCTCCTTGATCGTCACGTTGTAGAAGTTACTGGAAAACACTGGCTCGTTGTCATTTACATCCTGCAGCACCACAGCAACCTTCGCCGTCGACGACATAGGAGGCCGCCCGTTGTCCGTGGCAACCACGGTCACACTGGGCGCTGGCTCCGACTCGTAATCCAGTGCCATCGCCGTGGTGATGATCCCCGTCACTGGATCGATGGAGAACCAATCAGAGTGGCTCTTTTTGTCTTTGAGGAGACTGTATCGGACGTCCCCATTGGGCCCCTGGTCCTTGTCCCGGGCCGTCACCTGGAGCACAAAGGATCCTGGGTAGACAACCTCTGGGATGGTCTGTTTGTAAGCCTGCTGGTCGAAGAGTGGTGGATTATCATTCACATCAGTGACCTGGATAGTAAAGGAGGACTCAGCCCTGAGAGGAGGGGTGCCTGCGTCTGTTGCCATCACCCTCAGCTCGTACGTGTCCCTCTCTTCGCGGTCCAACACCTGGTCCACACAGATCAGATAGATAATACTGTCCTTGGTGGTCAGGGCGAACTTCCCGTCCCCTCCCTCTAGCGAAACGTTAACGTTAGCGTATTCTCCGTAGTCAGGGTCGGTGACGGAGATGCGCGCCACGTACTGGCCGGGCTGGGCGCCCTCGGAGATGCGTGGCGAGCCGTCTTCGCTGAGGAAAATGATGGTCATTGTGGGTTGGTTATCGTTGTAGTCTCGGACGTGGATTGTCACGAAGGCATTGGTCACCTGGAGGAAATGAGGTAAAACAACAGGGCACGGAGTAAAACAACAGGGCATGGTGTAAAACAACAGGGCATGGCGTAAGAAAACAGGGCATGGTGTAAAATAACAGGGCATGGTGTAAAACAACAGGGCATGGTGTAAAACAACAGGGTACGGTATAGAACAACAGGGCATGGAGTAAAACAACAGGGCATGGAGTACCATCGAGAGCGTCCTGACCGGTTGCATAATGGCCGGAGGGGATGGCTGCCGTTTTATGGACTCTTAACCAACCGTGCTATTTTGTGTGTTTTTTCGCATTGTTTGTAATTTATTTTGTACATAATGTTGATGCTACCGTCTCTTATGACCGAAAATAGCTTCTGGATTCCAGAACAGCGATTACTCACCTTGAACTGGACAAGTAATTTTTATTTAATGAGTCGGACGAGAGGGATTTGCTCCAGACACCCGACAGGGCCCTCATCCCCGTCATTCGCAGGAGAAAGAAAAGGAGATATCGCGGAAGGAGATCGGGGTGCCTGGTAAGGAGCCGGCGACGAGTGGCTAATCTGCCTTTACCATCAATACTATTGGCCAACTTACAATCGCTTGATAATAAAGTGGACAAACTACAAGCACGTATATCCTACCAACGGGACATTAAAAACTGTAATATCTTATGTTTCACTGAGTCGTGGCTGAACGAAGACATGAACAACATACAGCTGGCAGGTTTTACACTGTATTGGCAGGATAGAACAGCAGCCTCTGGTAAGACAAGGGGTGGCGGTCTATGTATATTTGTACACAACAGCTGGTGCACGATATCTAAGGAAGTCTCGAAGTTTTGCTCGCCTGAGGTAGAGTATCTCATGATAAACTGTAGACCACACTATCTACCAAGAGAGTTTTCATCTATATTCTTCGTAGCTGTATATTTACCACCACAAACCGATGCTGGCACTAAGACCGCACTCAATTAACTGTATACAGCCATAAGCAAACAGAAAAACGCTCATCCAGAGGCGGCGCTCCTAGTGGCCGGGGACTTTAATGCAGGGAAACTTAAATCCGTTTTACCTCATTTCTACCAGCATGTTAAATGTGCAACCAGAGGGGAAAGAAACTCTAGACCACCTTTACTCCACACACAGAGACGCGTACAAAGCTCCTTTGCCCTCCATATGGCAAATCTGACCATAATTATATCCTCCTGATTCCTGTTTACAAGCAGAAACTAAAGCAGAAAGCACCAGTGACTCGGTCAATAAAAAAGTGGTCAGATGAAGCAGATGCCAAACTACCGGACTGTTTTGCTAGCACAGACTTGAATATGTTCCGGGATTCTTCCGATGGCATTGAGGAGTACACCACATCAGTTACTGGCTTCATCAATAAGTGCATCGATGACGTTGTCCCCACAGTGACTGTACGTACATACCCCAACCAGAAGCCATGTATTACAGGCAACATCTGCACTGAGCTAAATGGTAGAGCTGCCGCTTTCAAGGAGCGGGACTCTAACCGGGAAGCTTATAAGAAATCCCGCTATGCCCTCCGACGAACCGGCAAAGCATCAATACAGGACTAAGATCTAATCGTACTACACAGGCTCCGACGCTCGTCGGATGTGGCAGGGTTTGCAAACTATTACAGACTACAAAGGGAAACACAGTCTCGAGCTGTCCAGTGACACGAGCCTACAAGACGAGCTAAATTACTTCCATGCTCGTTTCGAGGCAAGTAACACTGAAACATGCATGAGAGCATCAGCTGTTCCGGACGACTGTGTGATCACGCTCTCCATAGCAGATGTGAGTAAGACCTTTAAACAGGTCAACATTCACAAGGCCGCGGGCCAGACTGATTACCAGGATGTGTACTCCGAGCATGCACTGACCAACTGGCAAGTGTCTTCACTGACATTTTCAACCTCTCAATGTCTGAGTCTGTAACAGCAACATGCTTCAAGCAGACCACCATAGTCCCTGTGCCCAAGTACACTAAGGTAACCTGCCTAAATGACTACCACACCGTAGCACTCACGTCTGTAGCCATGAAGTGCTTTGAAAGGCTTGTCATGGCTCACATCAACACCATTCTCCCAGAAACCCTAGACCCACTCCAATTTGCATACCGCCCCAACAGATCCACAGATGATGCAATCTCTATTGCGCTCCACACTGCCCTTTCACACCTGGACAAAAGGAACACCTATGTGAGAATGCTATTCATTGACTATAGCTCAGTATTCAACACCATAGTGCCCTCAAAGCTCATCACTAAGCTAAGAACCCTGGGAATAAACACCTCCCTCTGCAACTGGATCCTGGACTTCCTGACGGGCCGCCCCCAGGTGGTAAGGGTAGGTAACAACACATCCGCCACGCTGATCCTCAACACGGGGGCCCCTCAGGAGTGCGTGCTCAGTCCCCTCCTGTACTCCCTGTTCACTCATGACTGCATGGCCAGGCACGACTCCAACACCAGTTTGCTGATGACACAACAGTGGTAGGCCTGATCACCGACAACGATGAGACAGCCTATAGGGAGGAGGTCAGAGACCTGGCCGTGTAGTGCCAGGACAACAACCTCTCCCTCAACGTGATCAAGACAAAGGAGATGATTGTGGACTACAGGAAAAAGAAGAAGACCGAGCACGCCCCCATTCTCATCGACGGGGCTGTAGTGGAGCAGGTTGAGAGCTTCAAGTTCCTTGGTGTCCACATCACCAACAAACTAACATCGTTCAAGCACACCAAGACAGTCGTGAAGAGGGCACGACAAAACCTATTCCCCCTAAGGAGAATGAAAGGATTTGGCATGGGTCCTCAAATCCTCAAAAGGTTTTACAGCTGCACCATCGAGAGCATCCTGACCGGTTGCATCACTGCCTGGTATGGCAACTGCTTGGCCTCCGACCGCAAGGCACTACAGAGGGTAGTGCGTACGGCCAAGTACATCACTGGGGCCAAGCTTCCTGCCATCCAGGACCTCTATACCAGGCGGTGTCAGAGGAAAGCCCTAAAAATGGTCAAAGACTCCAGTCACCCAATTCATAGTCTGTTCTCTCTGCTACCGCACAGCAAGCGGTACCGGAGCACCAAGTCTAGGTCCAAAAGGCTTCTAAACAACTTCTACCCCCAAGCCATAAGACTCCCGAGTGGCACAGTGGTCTAAGGCTAGCTGTGCCACTAGAGATCCTGGTTCATGTCCAGGCTCTGTCGCAGCCGGGCGCGACCGGGAGACCCATGGGGTGGCGCACAATTGGTCCAGCGTCGTCCAAGGTAGGGGAGGGTTTGGCCGGCAGGGATGTGGGTGTAATGTATGTAATGTAAATAAGACTCCTGAACATCTATAAAACAACAGTAGAGGATGTGGAGAAGCTAAAATAACCTCCTTCCTCTAAAAGTTCCAGAGAGCAGAGAGAGACTCAATGCAGCCTCCAGACTGTCCACAGGAAGGGTCCACAATTAGGACAACAATAACTAGTATTAAAGTCTCATTTGATGGCATTGTGCCATTACAGAAGAAACCTTTAAAGACATGTATTTATTCATGCTCATCAGATAAAATGACTACGTCGCTGTTCTGTTTCGACTGTCGTCAGCACATCATGTTGCTAGGTATGTTGCATTACATGTTTAATATTGAATGTGTTCCTGGCCTCTAGATGGCTAGTGGGTGGCTAGTGGGTGGCATCTAGGTGGCTAGTGGGTGGCTAGTGGGTGGCTAGTGGGTGGCATCTAGGTGGCTAGTGGGTGGCTAGTGGGTGGCTAGTGGGTGGCTAGTGGGTGGCATCTAGGTGGCTAGTGGGTGGCTTATAGGTGGCTAGTGGGTGGCTAGTGGGTGGCTTATAGGTGGCTAGTGGGTGGCTAGTGGGTGGCCTCTAGGTGGCTAGTAGGTGGCTAGTGGGTGGCTAGTGGGTGGCTAGTGGGTGGCTAGTGGGTGGCCTCTAGGTGGCTAGTGGGTGGCTAGTGGGTGGCATCTAGGTGGCTAGTGGGTGGCTAGTGGGTGACATGTGGGTGGCTAATGGGTGGCTTTTAGGTGGCTAGTGGGTGGCCTCTAGGTGGCTAGTGGGTGGCTAGTGGGTGGCTTATAGGTGCTAGTGGGTGGCTAGTGGGTGGCTTATAGGTGGCTAGTGGGTGGCTAGTGGGTGGCCTCTAGGTGGCTAGTGGGTGGCTTATAGGTGGCTATGGGTGGCTAGTGGGGCTAGTGGTGCTTATAGGTGGCTAGTGGGTGGCTAGTGGGTGCTAGTGAGTGGCATCTAGGTGGCTAGTGGTTGGCTAGTGGGTGGCTAGTAGGTGGCTAGTGGGTGGCTAGTGGGTGGCTAGTGGGTGGCATCTAGGTGGCTAGTGGTTGGCTAGTGGGTGGCTAGTGGGTGGCTAGTGGGTGGCTAGTGGGTGGCATCTAGGTGGCTAGTGGTTGGCTAGTGGTGGCATGTAGGTGGCAAGTGGGTGGCTAGTGGGTGGCATCTAGGTGGCTAGTGGGTGACTAGTGGGTGGGCCTCTAAGTGGCTAGCGGGTGGCATCTAGGTGGCTAGTGGGTGGCTAGTGGGTGGCTAGTGGGTGGCTTCTAGGTGGCTAGTGGGTGGCCTCTAGGTGGCTAGTGGGTGGCTAGTGGGTGGCTAGTGGGTGGCATGTAGGTGGCTAGTGGGTGGCTAGTGGGTGGCATCTAGGTGGCTAATGGGTGGCTAGTGGGTGGCATCTAGGTGGCTAGTGGGTGGCTAGTGGGTGGCTAGTGGGTGGCCTCTAGGTGGCTAGTGGGTGGCTTATAGGTGGCTAGTGGGTGGCTAGTGGGTGGCTAGTGGGTGGCTAGTGGGTGGCCTCTAGGTGGCTAGTGGGTGGCTTGTAGGTGGCTAGTGGGTGGCTAGTGGGTGGCTAGTGGGTGGCTAGTGGGTGGCATCTAGGTGGCTAGTGGGTGGCATCTAGGTGGCTAATGGGTGGCTAGTGGGTGGCATCTAGGTGGCTAGTGGGTGGCTAGTGGGTGGCTAGTGGGTGGCCTCTAGGTGGCTAGTGGGTGGCTAGTGGGTGGCTAGTGGGGTGGCCTCTAGGTGGCTAGTGGGTGGCTTATAGGTGGCTAGTGGGTGGCTAGTGGGTGGCTAGTGGGTGGCTAGTGGGTGGGCCTCTAGGTGGCTAGTGGGTGGCTTATAGGTGGCTAGTGGGTGGCTAGTGGGTGGCTTATAGGTGGCTAGTGGGTGGCTAGTGGGTGGCCTCTAGGTGGCTAGTAGGTGGCTAGTGGGTGGCTAGTGGGTGGCTAGTGGGTGGCTAGTGGGTGGCATGTAGGTGGCTAGTGGGTGGCTAGTGGGTGGCATCTAGGTGGCTAGTGGGTGGCTAGTGGGTGACATGTGGGTGGCTAATGGGTGGCTTTTAGGTGGCTAGTGGGTGGCCTCTAGGTGGCTAGTGGGTGGCTAGTGGGTGGCTTATAGGTGGCTAGTGGGTGGCTAGTGGGTGGCTTATAGGTGGCTAGTGGGTGGCTAGTGGGTGGCCTCTAGGTGGCTAGTGGGTGGCTTATAGGTGGCTAGTGGGTGGCTAGTGGGTGGCTAGTGGGTGGCTTATAGGTGGCTAGTGGGTGGCTAGTGGGTGGCTAGTGAGTGGCATCTAGGTGGCTAGTGGTTGGCTAGTGGGTGGCTAGTAAGTGGCTAGTGGGTGGCTAGTGGGTGGCTAGTGGGTGGCATCTAGGTGGCTAGTGGTTGGCTAGTGGGTGGCTAGTGGGTGGCTAGTGGGTGGCTAGTGGGTGGCATCTAGGTGGCTAGTGGTTGGCTAGTGGGTGGCATGTAGGTGGCAAGTGGGTGGCTAGTGGGTGGCATCTAGGTGGCTAGTGGGTGACTAGTGGGTGGCCTCTAAGTGGCTAGCGGGTGGCATCTAGGTGGCTAGTGGGTGGCTAGTGGGTGGCTAGTGGGTGGCTTCTAGGTGGCTAGTGGGTGGCCTCTAGGTGGCTAGTGGGTGGCTAGTGGGTGGCTAGTGGGTGGCATGTAGGTGGCTAGTATGTGGCTAGTGGGTGGCATCTAGGTGGCTAATGGGTGGCTAGTGGGTGGCCTCTAAGTGGCTAGCGGGTGGCATCTAGGTGGCTAGTGGGTGGCTAGTGGGTGGCTAGTGGGTGGCTTCTAGGTGGCTAGTGGGTGGCATCTAGGTGGCTAGTGGGTGGCTAGTGGGTGGCATGTAGGTGGCTAGTGGGTGGCTAGCGGGTGGCTAGTGGGTGGCTAGTGGGTGGCATCTAGGTGGCTAGTGGGTGGCATTTAGGTGGCTAGTGGGTGGCATTTAGGTGGCTAGTGGGTGGCTAGCGGGTGGCTAGTGGGTGGCATCTAGGTGGCTAGTGGGTGGCTAGTGGGTGGCTAGTGGGTGGCTAGTGGGTGGGATCTAGGTGGCTAGTGGTTGGCCTCTCGGTGGCTAGTGGGTGGCAAGTGGGTGGCTAGTGGGTGGCTTCTAGGTGGCTAGTGGGTGGCCTCTAGGTGGCTAGTGGGTGGCTAGTGGGTGGCTAGTGGGTGGCTAGTGGGTGGCATCTAGGTGGCTAGTGGGTGGCATCTAGGTGGCTAGTGGGTGGCTAGTGGGGGGATAGTGGGTGGCATCTAGGTGGCTAGTGGGTGGCTAGTGGGTGGCTAGTGTTGACCCGGGCTGCACCCCCACCTTCACTCTCTCTATTCAATATTAGTATTAGACTAGTATTAAGGTGTCATTTGATGGCATTGTGCAATTACAGAAGAAACCTTTAAAGACATGTATTTATTCATGCTTATCAGATAAAATGACTACTTCGCTGATCTGTTTTGACTGTCTTCAGCACATCATGTTACTAGGTATGTTGCATTACATGTTTAATATTGAATGTGTTCAATGCCACCCTCTCTATTCAATATTATTCTACAATGTAGAAAATTGTAAAAATAAAGAAAAACCCTTGAATGAGTAGATGTGTCCAAACGTTTGACTGGTTCTGTATATAGGTAATGTTAGCTGTGGCTAGACATGTTTATAACAACGTTTTCCCCCTGGATTTATATATTTATAAGTATTTTTTATGGTTATGACGGTTATTCTATTTTCATTCAATTTTAATTTTCATCCATCCCTACCCATGCACACCCTCACACAAACCCACACACACACACCTCAGGGTGGCTGGCGTTGTCTCTGGCCTGCACCACCAGCTCGTGGACTCTCTTCAGCTCGTAGTCCAGTGGACGGTTCAGAGTGATGACCCCCGACCTCGTATCCATAACAAAGTAGCGGTCAGGGTCGCTCTGGCGACGGTTGATCTCGTACAGAACCAGACCGTTGTCTCCCTCGTCAGCGTCGGACGCAAACACCTGCAGGACGTGAGAGATTGATTATTGATTGACTATTAGTAAAGATTTACCATAACTAATACAGTACTTTATACCAGTGGAGGCTCCTCAGAGGAGGAAGGGGAGGACCATCCTCCTCAGTGAATTCCATACAATAGTGTAACATTAAAAAAGTTATATATTTTTTATAAAACTATACTAAATATATTCACGTCACCAAATAATTGATTAAAATACACTGTTTTGCAATGAAGGTCTACAGTAGTCTCAACAGCACTCTGTAAGGTAGTACCATGGTGTAGCCAGAGGACAGCTAGTTTCTGTCCTCCTCTGGGTACATTGACTTCAATACAAAACCTAGGAGGCTCGTGGTTCTCACCCTCTTCCATAGACTTACACAGTAATTATGACAACTTCCGGAGGACGTCCTCTAACCTATGAGAGCTTTTGCAGAATGAACTGACATGTTGTCCAACCAATCAAAGGATCAGAGAATGAATCTAGTACTGAAAGCATAAACTACAGCTAGCTAGCACCGCAATGCATAAAATGTGGTGAGTAGTTCACTCAAAGAGAGAGAAAGACAATAGTTGAACAGGTTTGAACAAATTAATTTCTTAAAAAATGAAAGACAAGCAAGAGAGAGAGAGAGATATTTTGCTGTATTTTTTTTCACTTTCACTTACTTAGCTAGCGAATGCAGCTAGCTAGCTAGCCTACTAAAACACCCGGCTCAAACAGAGAGGGATGCTATGTTAGCTAGCTGGCTATGGCTATCCAACACTGGAACTCTTCCAAGTCAAGGTAAGCTTTTGGTTTTATTAATTTATTGCCACCGGGGCCCGCCGGTTAACAGCTAAACTGCTAAAATGCTTTCTGACTGTACACTGAACTGCATGATTGTAGCGGGTTTACTAACGCGTTAGTTCTAGCGTAGATGCGAGAAGGAATACAATGATCAAAGGGATCATGCTGTTTGTATGTGGCTGCTATGAAAGTGAAGGGTGTTTGCGTGTGATCAGGGGTGTATTCATTCCGCTGATTCTGTTGAAAAAAAGTTTCTTAAACAGAAGCAAACTGAACAAAACGGGGATAAACATACCTGGATTTTTCCAATAGAAACTCTCGTTTGCAACTGTTGGACTAATGATTACACCCTAGATCAGCTAGATGCAGGCAAGAGTGTGCCAGGCGGTATTGAATGTGTCGCTGTCTGACACCTAGATTACTCAAATATATCTCAACCGGTGCACCTACGTTGTAAACTTTCATTCATAGGCTAGGTTGTAGCAACCTCATGATGGGGTATAGGGAACATTTGAGTATCATGTAGTAGCCTAAACCTATCGATGTTACATTGAGCAGGGTGAACGGAATATGAATGACAGTCATCCAATTTGCTGTAATAGAAATAAGGCCATGCTCATTAAAAAAAGAATCGTCCTCCCTCATCTTAAACGGCACCGACCGCCACTGGTGTGTGTGTGTGTCTCTCAGCTGAGGCAGTTTGGACATTCTGTAGCATCATCACTCCCAGATATGGCAGCTTTATGGCTGTAGCATCGTAGCTGTAGCATCGTGGCTGTAGCATCATGGCTGTAGCATCAGGGCTGTAGCATCAGGGCTGTAGCATCAGGGCTGTAGCATCATGGCTGTAGCATTGTGGCTGTAGCATCAGGGCTGTAGCATCATGGCTGTAGCATCAGGGCTGTAGCATCGTGGCTGTAGCATCATGGCTGTAGCATCGTGGATGTAGCATCATGGCTGTAGCATCGTGGCTGTAGCATCAGGGCTGTAGCATCATGGCTGTAGCATCGTGGCTGTAGCATCGTGGCTGTAGCATCATGGCTGTAGCATCGTGGCTGTAGCATCAGGGCTGTAGCATCATGGCTGTAGCATCAGGGCTGTAGCATCATGGTTGTTGAGGAGAGTGTACAGAGCCAACACAGAGTGGGACGTTCTCTCCCTGGCGCTCTGCCCCCAGGACACTGCTCCTATCCTGGCTAGAGCCTGGAGGTGTGGCCCTCTCTCCCTGGCGCTCTGCCCCCAGGACAGTGCTCCTATCCTGGCTAGAGCCTGGAGGTGTGGCCCTCTCTCCCTGGTGCTTTGCCCTCAGGTCACTGCTCCTAACCTGGCTAGAGCTGACCGGTTTCTCCCCAGCTAATACGTTTTTAATGAAGGGAGACTCTACTACTCTACACATCAGTGTGAAGTTGCGGTGCGATACCAAAATGAAAACTGAATGAAGCTAGGATGTGGAGTAAAACAGCAGGTCAGAAAAACAGCAGGTCAGTAAAACAGCAGGTCAGTAAAACAGCAGGTCAGTAAAACAGCAGGTCAGTCAGTAAAACAGCAGGTCAGAAAAACAGCAGGTCAGTAAAACAGCAGGTCAGTAAAACAGCAGGTCAGTAACACAGCAGGTCAGTAAAACAGCAGGTCAGTAAAACAGCAGGTCAGTAAAACAGCAGGTCAGTAACACAGCAGGTCAGTAAAAACAGCAGGTCAGTAAAAACAGCAGGTCAGTAAAAACAGCAGGTCAGTAAAAACAGCAGGTCAGTAAAACAGCAGGTCAGTAAAACAGCAGGTCAGAAAAACAGCAGGTCAATAAAAACAGCAGGTCAGTAAAAACAGCAGGTCAGTAAAAACAGCAGGTCAGAAAAACAGCAGGTCAGTAAAAACAGCAGGTCAGAAAAACAGCAGGTCAGTAAAAACAGCAGGTCAGTAAAACAGCAGGTCAGAAAAACAGCAGGTCAGTAAAACAGCAGGTCAGAAAAACAGCAGGTCAGTAAAACAGCCGGTCAGTAAAACAGCAGGTCAGTAAAACAGCAGGTCAGAAAAACAGCAGGTCAGTAAAACAGCAGGTCAGTAAAACAGCAGGTCAGTAAAACAGCCGGTCAGTAAAACAGCAGGTCAGTAAAACAGCCGGTCAGTAAAACAGCCGGTCAGTAAAGGTTTTTAACATTTAACATACACCTTCTGCTAGAGTGACTTGTTTTTTTGTCTACAAAACGTTTTGCTCTATTTTCTGGCCACCATTAATACCTGTAATATGTTGCTTCCCTGTGGTAAACTCTCAGAGATGATGGCATGGTATCTGCTCTGGTTGAAGACGGGGGCGTGGTCATTGATGTCAGTGACAGACACCTCCAGGGTCATCAGGCCGGTGCGCCTGGGACTCCCCCCGTCGAAGGCCTCCAGAACCAGGCTGTACGAAGACATCTTCTCCCTGTCCAGAACACCGTTCACCACCAGGTCCAGGTACAACACCTAAGAGTGAAAAGACACGAGAGGACACAAGGACAACGGAGAGAAAACCATATAAATAGAATGAATAGAACTGTCTTGGAACCTCTAACCCTGGCAATTTGACTGGTAAACTCATGGGTACACTCGAAACGGTTGCCTGGTATTGTGATGCAATAATTTCCATGGTAATGTAGAATGTTCATTCAAATTATGTTAACTGATGTGGCTCATGCAATGGAATGTATTTTGTGTAATGTCAGTTGAGTTGATTCAACAAATCACAGCACATATTGATGGGTACACTTCCTGCTTTTACTCCATCATTGACTTGAATGGGGATTCCTGATCTTGTCATTCTATTAATATGGAGAAAACCGCTTAGAGAGAAATGCTACTGTATTGTATTGTTTTCGTGTATATTGTACCACTGGCCTCACAAAAGAGATGTCCATGAAAGTGGACAATAGAGTATCATATCCTATTGTAAAAGACCAGTTTAATAAACCTTGTTAGCTCTCTTGGTCTTGTTCACGTGTCCCTGGGTGCTTTGCTATGCTTACTATGTTACTCTACGCTATGCTATGCTACGCTATGATATTGTATGCTATGCTACTCTACGCTATGCTACTCTACGCTATGCTATGCTACGCTATGATATTGTATGCTATGCTACTCTACACTATGCTATGCTATGCTACGCTATGATATTGTATGCTATGCTACTCTACGCTATGCTACTCTACGCTATGCTACTCTACGCTATGCTACTCTACGCTATGCTATATTTGTATCATACCTTGTTAGCAGCTCTCTTGGTCTCCAGCCTGAAGGCTTGCCCCACGTTGCCCTCCTTAATCACATATCCCTGCGTGGTCAGCTGATCGCGGTCCGCGTCCGACGCCGGCTCCAGGGACACCCGTGTTCCCACCGCCGTCTGTTCCGGGATCTTCAGCGACGCCTTGGGCTTGAGGAACGCCGGCGCGTGGTCGTTGATGTCGTTGACCGTGACGGACACCTCGACTGTGACCCCGGTCATGGTGACGGCGATGAAGCTGTAGTGGTCCCTCTGCTCGCGGTCGAGGCGGCGTGCCGTGGTGATGATCCCAGAGGTCTCGTCGATGTGGAGGTCGCTGCCCAACCCTGTTCCCTCGTGGTCGGAGATGAAGTACAGCGAGGCGGTGACGCCGGGCGGTAGCCCAGCACTGATGTCCCCTACGATGGTCCCTGCTGGCTGCTCCTCATCTAGCTGGAGCTCCAGAGCTCCCAGGACCGCGGCGGAGTGGACCACAACCAGCTCCAAGACCACGTAGAGCAGGAGGAGAGACCGTCGCCTCCACAGGCCTGAACACACACATAGACCGCTGGCCCTGGGCCCACCTTCACACGTTATTGTCATGGCTGGGGCCTCCTACACCTGAAAGAGAGAGAATACAGAGAATAGAACTTTAGAATAGAACTTCAGAATAGAACCTTAGAATAGAACCTTAGAATAGAACTTCAGAATAGAACCTTAGAATAGAACCTTAGAATAGAACCTTAGAATAGAACTTTAGAATAGAACTTGAGAATAGAATGTTAGCACCTTAAACTAGAACTTCAGAATAAAACCTTAAAATATAACCTTAGAATACAACTTTTGAATAGAATTTCAGAATACAACTTTAGAATAGAAAGTTATAACCGTAGAATAAATCCTTAGAATTTAATTTCAGAAAAGAAAGTTAGATTATAACTTTGATCCATTCTTGGAAGACAAATGTGTTTCTTTGCTACATAACTTCCATGTTTGAAAGCAGTTGTTCCCAACAGCAGCTGAGTCCTGTTGGGTTGTGACTGAAGACTTTGGCCAGAAACACTGGTCTTGTTTATCACCAACATTGTTTATTGGGTGGGACCATTGAAAAAGCCAGGTCATGATAAAAGACACACACACACACACAGAGAGAGAGAGAGAGAGAGAGAGAGAGGGAGGAGAGAGAGAGAGAGATGACGCGAGAGAGATCGATCGAGATATAGAGGAGAGAGAGAGAGAGAGAGAGAGAGATAGATAGAGGAGAGAGAGAGAGAGAGAGAGACAGTGCGGAGGGAGCAAGAGACAGAGAGAGAGAGAGAGAGAGGAGAGATAATAGAGCGAGAGAGAGAGAGGAGAGAGAGAGCATGGGAAAGCATGCTATAGTCGCAGTAGCAGGGTGTCTGTGGGGAGCGTAACCGTCCGTCAGTAAAGACTGTAAGCCTAGTCCATATGTTTCTCTCACCATATAGCCATGCAGCACTCTAAAACACTACACACTGAGCCTAATGTAACCTGCTACCATACACTGAGACTACACACTATACCGAGTTGACCAGTCTCTCTCTCTCTCTCTCTCTCTCTCTCTCTCTCTCTCTCTCTCCCTCTACCTCTCTGAAGAGTTATGAAGAGTTTCAGTCCAAAACGCTATAGTGTATATCCATTTTCTAGAAACAGTGGTAAATTATGTTTTATTGTTTAAAGAAGTTATGAAAGGGATTGGTGTGTTTTTTCACTATCTAATCGTTGTATGGGGTTGTTCAATGACCGACATGTATTTGTTTAAAATCTATCACTTGTTGGTTAAGCTTAAGATTACAGCGTTTAATCATGTTTTATAATATTCTACCAACATTGCGCAACTCTTAGGGCAACTTATGTCCATTGTTTTTGTCAAAATTGGTCAAGCTCAGTAAATTTGGTTGGGAATCATTCATGGATAGCAATATTCAAACCTTGTCTCTGATTTTCAAGCAAAGTCAGGCCTGAGACTGGACCACTCAGGAACACTTAACACCTGTTGGAAAGCCATTCTGGTGTGCCTTTGGCATACATTGTTTTGTAATTGTCTTACTGAAAAATAAAACTCTATCCCAGTGTTAGGTTTTCAGAAGACTGAAGCGTGTATTTCCTGTAACTTTTTACCTGGGCTTTGATCCTAACAAACTCCCCAGTCCTTGTCAGTGACAAGCATACCCATAACACGATGCTGCCACTACAATGCTTGAGCACTCAACAACATTTGGAAAGCTATTATGGTGTGTCTATGGCATAAACATTTATGTTATTGTCTCGCTGAAAAATACAACTCTATCCCAGGGTTAGGTTTTCAGAAGACTCAGGCGGGTTTTCCTTTAATGTTTTACCTGGGCTTTGCTCCTTTCATATTTATTTGATCCTGACAAACTACCCAGTCCCTGTCGATGACAAGCATACCCATAACCTGATGTTGCCACCACAAAACATGAAATACAATACTCTGTGTTGTTTTATATTGGATTTGCTGTGTTGTCTTGCAGTGTTAGCTAACAGCTTTGTTCCAAACAGAATGGATGATTTGGACTATATTTTTTAACACAGGCTTCCTTCTTTTCACTTTGTCATACAGGCCAGTAATGTGGAGTGAATGCAATGTTGTTGATCCCTTTGTGTGTTCAAGTATTGTGGTGGTAGAATCATGTTATGGGTAGGCTTGATACCGGCAGGGACTGAGGAACTTTTCAGGATCAAAATAAATATGAAAGGATCAAAGCCCAGGGAAAACGTTAGCAGAAAACCTGCCTCAGTCTTCTAAAAACCCTGGGATAGAGTTTTATGTTTCAGTGGGACAATACACACATTTGAATTCCAAAGATACACCAGAATGACTTTCCAAGTGGTGTTGAGTGTTTCTCGAATGGTCCAGTCTCCGTCCTGACTTAAATCTGCTTAAAAAAAATCTGAGAGAAGATTTGAATATTGCTGTCCATCACTGATTCTCAACCAAAGGTACCGAGCTTGAGCAATTTTGACAAAAACAATGGACGTTGCCCTAAGAGTTGTGCAATGTTGGTAGAATCTCATTCAAAATGATTCACAGCTGTAATGGCTGCCTAAGGTGCTTCCACCAAGTATTAACTCTGGGTTGTAAAGACATACATCCTCATTTTCTATTTCTTTTAGTAATTTGAAGAAAAATCTAAAATGTTTCTCTCACTGTAAAAAAGTGGAGTAGATAGGAAGAAAAATCACAATCCCTTTTTTAGATTTAATTTTATTGGTTGTGTACACAGTTTAACAGATGTGTTAGCGGGTGCAGCGGAATGCTTATGTTACTAGCTCCTAACAATGCAGTTAAATGTTAAGGCAGCAGAATGTGAAGACTCTGCAAGGGGTGTGTAGACTTTCACTAGCAGCTGTAATAATAATAATAAAAAATAAAAAAATATATATACAGTATATAGAAATATATTCTCCCTCTCGCTCTCTCTCTCTTTCTTTCACACACTCTCACACACACACACACACACACACACACACAAACACACACACACACACACACGCACACACACGCACACACACACACACACACACACACACACACACACACACGCACACACACTCAAGAAAGCACAATTAAATTGCAAAAACTCTTCTACTGCACTTTCCCTGTTTATCCAGACTATAAATGTTTGTCCAATCGTAGAAACAGTCATAATTCTGTTGATAAATAACCAGCTAACAATTATGTAAGATGATTCATAGAGTTTATAGTTCTTGACAACATTATAGTGTTCAGAGTAAATCAAATTAATCCTGTACAAAAACACATTCGCCCCAATCAGAGCCAACCTTGGACCAAACCTACAACACAGACCCTGCATCCCAAATAGCACCCTATTCCCTATATAGCGCACAGGGGTGGAAAGAGTACTGAAATATCTATTCAAGTAGAAGTACTGTTACTTTAATGACATTTTACTCAGTAGAAGTTCTGTTACATTAATGATATTTTACTTAGTAGAAGTACTGTTACTTTAATTACATTTTACTTAGTAGAAGTACTGTTACTTTAATGACATTTTATTCAGTAGAAATACTGTTACTTTAATGATATTTTACTTAGTAGAAGAACTGTTACTTTAATTAAATTTTACGCAGTAGAAGTACTGTTACTTTAATGCCATTTTATTCAGTAGAAGTACTGTTACTTTAATTATATTTTATTCAGAAGAAATACTGTTACTTTAATGACATTTTACTTAGTAGAAGTACTGTTACTTTAATGACATTTTATTCAGTAGAAATACTGTTACTTTAATGACATTTTATTCAGTAGAAGTACTGTTACTTTAATGATATTTTATTCAGTAGAAATACTGTTACTTTAATGACATTTTATTCAGTAGAAGTACTGTTACTTTAATGATATTTTATTCAGTAGAAATACTGTTACTTTAATGACATTTTACTCAGTAGAAGTTCTGTTACTTTAATGACATTTTATTCAGTAGAAGTACTGTTACTTTAATGACATTTTATTCAGTATAAATACTGTTACTTTAATGATATTTTACTTAGTAGAAGTACTGTTACTTTAATGATATTTTACTTAGTAGAAGTACTGTTACTTTAATGACATTTTATTCAGTATAAATACTGTTACTTTAATGGTATTTTACTTAGTAGAAGTACTGTTACTTTAATGATATTTGACTTAGTAGAAGTTCTGTTACTTTAATGACATTTTATTCAGGAGAAGTAAAACTACTCAAGTAAAAGGAAAAAGTAGCTAGAGTAAAAGTTATTTAGTTACGTTTAAAATCAAAACATTGACCTTCATAATTATAGAATTTCGCTCCGGTTACATGAACGCTGCTAAACCTGATCTTTTCCATGCATTAACTAGAAATAAGAAGAGAGGAAATGGATGTACAATGTGTGTGTGTGTGTGTGTGTGTGTGTGTGTGTGTGTGTGTGTGTGTGTGTGTGTGTGTGTGTGTGTGTGTGTGTGTGTGTGTGTAGCTGTGCGTGTGTGTGTGTGTGTGTGTGTTGTTACGTACTGTGTTTGTGTATTCAATGTGCTTTCAGTATGTTTCAATATACTGTATCTGTGTAGTGCATCTTAATCATACCACGTGCTGTGACATCATCTCTGTGCGACTACAGTAACAGGGAGAGCAGAGCAGGCGGGCTCCATACAGTCTATCCCACACACTGTCTGGCAACACAGACCTGTAATCTAGCTCCTGATGGACACACACACACACACACACACACACACACACACACACACACACACACACATGCACACACAGACAGACACACACACAGTCACAAACACACAGACACACGCACACAGACGCACTCAGACGCACACACACACAGTCACACAGTCACACACACACAGTCACACACACACCGCTGATAGAGTATAAACATACCACAGTAAAGACATTTCTGCTATATTTTCCATCCCTCACTCATAAGCCCATTGTCAATTCCTGTTGATGGCCGTGCTACTTAAACTACGGTACTTCCTGTTGATGGCCGTGCTACTTAAACTACAGTACTTCCTGTTGATGGCCGTGCTACTTAAACTACGGTACTTCCTGTTGATGGCCGTGCTACTTAAACTACGGTACTTCCTGTTGATGGCCGTGCTACTTAAACTACGGTACTTCCTGTTGATGGCTGTGCTACTTAAACTACGGTACTTCCTGTTGATGGCCGTGCTACTTAAACTACGGTACTTCCTGTTGATGGCCGTGCTACCTAAACTACGGTACTTCCTGTTGATGGCCGTGCTACTTAAACTACGGTACTTCCTGTTGATGGCCGTGCTACTTAAACTACGGTACTTCCTGTTGATGGCCTTGCTACTTAAACGACGGTACTTCCTGTTGATGGGCCGTGCTACTTAAACTACGGTACTTCCTGTTGATGGCCGTGCTACTTAAACTACGGTACTTCCTGTTGATGGCCGTGCTACTTAAACTACGGTACTTCCCCGGTCTGTGAACTACAAGTCATCACTGTTCCATGACTTCAATTACCAGGATGCATCAGGGGTTGTTGTATATAGGTCCATGGGGAGTAGAGAGGGCTGAGGCAGAATGAAATAACAAGAAAGAGATGCACCAATCTTCCTCTATCCCCCCGTTCTCCCTCCCTCTCACCCTCCTTCAGTCCCTTCCTGCCCTCCCTTCATTTCTATGTCCCTCCCTTCCTGCCCTCCCCTCCCTTCCTCTATCCCCCGTTCTCCCGTTCTCCTGTTCTCCCTTCCTCTCTCTCTCCCGCCCTCTGTCCCTCCCTCCCTCCCTCCACCCGTATGTCCCTCTCTCTCTACCTCCCTCCCTCTATCCCTCCCCCTGTACCCCCCTTCCTCCCTCTCTCCCTCCCTGCCACCCTCTCTTCCTCCCTGCCACCCTCTCTTCCTCCCTGCCAACCTCTCTCCCTCCCTCCACCCGTATGTCCCTCTCTTTCTATCCTCCCTCCCCTCTATCCCTCCCCCTGTACCCCCCCCCCCTTCCTCCCTCTCTCCCTCCCTGCCACCCTCTCTTCCTCCCTGCCACCCTCTCTTCCTCCCTGCCAACCTCTCTCCCTCCCTCCACCCGTATGTCCCTCTCTCTCTACCTCCCTCCCTCTATCCCTCCCCCTGTACCCCCCCTTTCTCCCTCTCTCCCTCCCTGCCACCCGTATGTCCCTCCATCCCTCCCTCCCTCCCTCCCTCTGTACCTCCCTCCTTTCCTTTATCCCCCTCTCCACCCTTCCCTCCCTGTAATGGATGCAGCAGATCTAGTCACCCGTATGTCCCTCCATCCCTCCCTGTAATGGATGCAGCAGATCTAGTCACCCGTAGCCAAGTAAAACAGGGCCCAGAGTCACGGAACTCCAAGCTGAATGGCCATTCTATACATCCCCTGACTGTGTCCCAACTGGTACCCTAGTCCCTTATGGACCCTGGTCAAAAGTAGTGCACTATACAGGGAATAGGGTGCCATTTGGGATGTAGCCCCTGTCTCCTCCATGGTTCTATCAGATATCCCCTGTCCTGTCCTGTCTGTCTCCTCCATGGTTCTATCAGATATCCCCTGTCCTGTCCTGTCTGTCTCCTCCATGGTTCTATCAGATATCCCCTGTCCTGTCTGTCTCCTCCATGGTTCTATCAGATATCCCCTGTCCTGTCTGTCTCCTCCATGGTTCTATCAGATATCCCCTGTCCTGTCTGTCTCCTCCATGGTTCTATCATACATCCCCTGTCCTGTCTGTCTCCTCCATGGTTCTATCATACATCCCCTGTCCTGTCTGTCTCCTCCATGGTTCTATCAGATATCCCCTGTCCTGTCTGTCTCCTCCATGGTTCTATCAGATATCCCCTGTCCTGTCTGTCTCCTCCATGGTTCTATCAGATATCCCCTGTCCTGTCCTGTCTGTCTCCTCCATGGTTCTATTATATATCCCCTGTCCTGTCTGTCTCCTCCATGGTTCTATCATACATCCCCTGTCCTGTCTGTCTCCTCCATGGTTCTATTATATATCCCCTGTCCTGTCTGTCTCCTCCATGGTTCTATTATATATCCCCTGTCCTGTCTGTCTCCTCCATGGTTCTATCAGATATCCCCTGTCCTGTCCTGTCTGTCTCCTCCATGGTTCTATTATATATCCCCTGTCCTGTCTGTCTCCTCCATGGTTCTATTATATATCCCCTGTCCTGTCCTGTCTCCTCCATGGTTCTATCAGATATCCCCTGTCCTGTCCTGTCTGTCTCCTCCATGGTTCTATCAGATATCCCCTGTCCTGTCCTGTCTGTCTCCTCCATGGTTCTATCAGATATCCCCTGTCCTGTCCTGTCTGTCTCCTCCATGGCTCTATCAGATATCCCCTGTCCTGTCTGTCTCCTCCATGGTTTCTATCAGATATCCCCTGTCCTGTCTGTCTCCTCCATGGTTCTATTATATATCCCTTGTCCTGTCCTGTCTGTCTCCTCCATGGTTCTATCAGATATCCCCTGTCCTGTCTGTCTCCTCCATGGTTCTATCATACATCCCCTGTCCTGTCTGTCTCCTCCATGGTTCTATTATATATCCCCTGTCCTGTCCTGTCTGTCTCCTCCATGGTTCTATCAGATATCCCCTGTCCTGTCCTGTCTGTCTCCTCCATGGTTCTATTATATATCCCCTGTCCTGTCTGTCTCCTCCATGGTTATATCAGATATCCCCTGTCCTGTCTGTCTCCTCCATGGTTCTATCAGATATCCCCTGTCCTGTCTGTCTCCTCCATGGTTCTATTATATATCCCCTGTCCTGTCTGTCTCCTCCATGGTTCTATCAGATATCCCCTGTCCTGTCTGTCTCCTCCATGGTTCTATTATATATCCCCTGTCCTGTCTGTCTCTTCCATGGTTCTATCAGATATCCCCTGTCCTGTCCTGTCTGTCTCCTCCATGGTTCTATCAGATATCCCCTGTCCTGTCTGTCTCCTCCATGGTTCTATCAGATATCCCCTGTCCTGTCTGTCTCCTCCATGGTTCTATCATACATCCCCTGTCCTGTCCTGTCTCCTCCATGGTTCTATCAGACAATCCCCTGTCCTGTCTGTCTCCTCCATGGTTCTATCAGATATCCCCTGTCCTGTCTGTCTCCTCCATGGTTCTATCAGATATCCCCTGTCCTGTCTGTCTCCTCCATGGTTCTATCAGATATCCCCTGTCCTGTCCTGTCTGTCTCCTCCATGGTTCTATCAGATATCCCCTGTCCTGTCTGTCTCCTCCATGGTTCTATCATACATCCCCTGTCCTGTCTGTCTCCTCCATGGTTCTATCAGATATCCCCTGTCCTGTCTGTCTCCTCCATGGTTCTATCAGATATCCCCTGTCCGTGTCTGTCTCCTCCATGGTTCTATCAGATATCCCCCTGTCCTGTCCTGTCTGTCTCCTCCATGGTTCTATCAGACATCCCCTGTCCTGTCTGTCTCCTCCATGGTTCTATCAGATATCCCCTGTCCTGTCCTGTCTGTCTCCTCCATGGTTCTATCAGATATCCCCTGTCCTGTCTGTCTCCTCCATGGTTCTATCATACATCCCCTGTCCTGTCTGTCTCTTCCATGGTTCTATCATACATCCCCTGTCCTGTCTGTCTCCTCCATGGTTCTATCAGATATCCCCTGTCCTGTCTGTCTCCTCCATGGTTCTATCAGATATCCCCTGTCCTGTCTGTCTCCTCCATGGTTCTATCAGACATCCCCTGTCCTGTCTGTCTCCTCCATGGTTCTATCATACATCCCCTGTCCTGTCTGTCTCCTCCATGGTTCTATTATATATCCCCTGTCCTGTCTGTCTCCACATTGGTTCTGACTGGTAGATAAAACAGCTTATTAACATATGTGGAAAAGTCGGTTGGAAAATAATGTTGGTAGCTTTCTTGAGCAAACATATTTCTGATCTGAATCCACTGCAGTGTGGAATTTGCCAACCACCCCTTTACCCCGATTTGATGCCCCTGTCAATTATATCGTATTTGTACTGTGTGAAAGAGAGACAGTTGGGCTCTGGACTCACACAAGACACACATACACACAACCAATCTCCACACAGTCTTCCAGTCTGGGCCTGGACTGCAGCAGGGTCTGAAACCTTCAATTGAGTCTCAATTGTCTGTTCTGGCTCAGAACTCAAAAGTGCATCCCAAATGACATCCAATTCCCTATTTAGTGCACTACTTTCGACCAAGGCCCATAGGTGAGTAGGGTGTCATGTGGGAGGCAACCAATCACCAATCACCTCAGCGGGCTGTGGAGGTGTGATCCAGCAGGGAGTGACCTCATCCAGTTCAACCAATTATAGAGCTGATACTATAACATATAACAGCCCCCCCCCCTCCCCCTCCCCCTCCCCCCTCCCGCCCCCCCCCCCCAACACCAACTACAACCTATACAGCCCCCCCTCCCCCTCCCCCCCCCACCACCCACTACAACCTATACAGCCCCCCCTCCCCCCCTCCCCACCTCCCCCCTCCCCCCCCACCACTACAACCTATACAACGCCCCCCCTCCCCCTCCCCCCTCCCCCCCCCACCACCAACTACAACCGATAATCCCCCCCCCACCTCCCCCCCTCCCCCCCCCCCCGCCACACAACTACAACCTATACAGCCCCCCCCTCCCCCCTCCCCCCCCCACACCAACTACAACCTATACAGCCCCCCCCTCCCCCCTCCCCCCCCCAAACCAACTACAACCTATACAGCCCCCCTCCCCCCTCCCCCCTCCCCCCTCCCCCCCCCCCCACACCAACTCCAACCTCTACCATCCCCCCCTCCCCCCTCCCCCCCCCACACCAACTACCCCTATACAGCCCCCCCTCCCCCCTCCCCCCCTCCCCCCCCACCAACTACAACCTATCAGCCAATTAAAACGGCTGCTGTTTTCACCGCTCCTGCCATAGACTCCCATTTAAATTCCATTCTGAGGCGCTGTGAAACCAGACGGTTCGACATAGAGAGAGATGTCTGGTGGATTCATTGTAAAGGAAGGTTCGTTCTCTCCCCTCTCTCTCTCTCTACCACATTTAGGGTTTCATTGTAAAAGGTTAGTTCTCTCTCTCTACCACATTTAAGGTTTCGTTGTAAAAGGTTAGTTGTCTCTCTCTAACAAATTTAAGGTTTTGTTGTGGAAGGTTAATTCAATTCAATTCAATTTCAATTTAAGGGGCTTTATTGGCATGGGAAACATATGTTAACATTGCCAAAGTAAGTGAAATAGATACTAAACAAAAGTGAAATAAACAATAAATATTAACAGTAAACATTACACTCAGAAAAGTTCCAAAAGAATAAAGACATTTCAAATGTCATATTATGTATATATACAGTGTTGTAACAATGTGCAAATAGTTAAAGTACAAAAGGGAAAATAAATAAACATAAATGTAGGTTATATTTACAATGGTGTTTGTTCTTCACTGGTTGCCCTTTTCTTGTGGCAACAGGTCACAAATCTTGCAGCTGTGATGGCACACTGTGGTATTTCACCCAGTAGAAAAGGGAGTTTATCAAAATTGGATTTGTTTTCGAATTCTTTGTGGATCGCTGTAATCTGAGGGAAATATGTGTCTCTAATATGGTCATACATTTGGCAGGAGGTTAGGAAGTGCAGTTCAGTTTCCACCTCATTTTGTGGGCAGTGTGCACATAGCCTGTCTTCTCTTGAGAG